CAAGTGAGCTCCCCATCGGGCTGCCTGCCTTGATCCAAGCTGGTAATGTTCTCTCCTGAGTCTCTGTCCCAGGGTTTTACAGCCTGCCTTCATTACTGGCAGAAATGGCAGCTGCAGCTTTTAGGACTGCTAAATAAGAGAGCTGGAAGGGAAAACTCACCTGGAGAGCTCACTTGTTGCATGTTGTCTACCCCAGAATTCAGGGAATTCCTCTTTCTCTGGGGATGGATGGCTGCTCTGAACTTCCAGAGACAGATTAAACCCCAGGGTTTTACGGAGTGTGATCATGGGCTCAAAATCACAGAACCACCTTTTAGTGCTTTTATCCCAACTATTTTTTCTGTACACACACATCTACTGGCATTTTGGGTCACATTTATGCAACTGGAATTGAATCACTGAATCCCAGAATAGTGTGGATTGGAAGGAGCCTTAAAGCTCATGTCATCCCTGGAGGTGTCCCCAGGCCAGGCTGGACAGGGCTTGGAGCACCCTGGACAGTGGAAGGTGACCCTGCCATGGCACTGGGTGAGCTTTAGGTCTGTTCCAGCCCAAATCATTGTGGAATTCTGTGATTTGCCCTCAAACACTCAGGCACCTGCACGGCCCAGGTGGCACAGTGAGCCTTTGCTGGCTGCTTCACCAGCACTTCCAGCACTGATGGGGACGCAGAGTTGGACACAGATCCTCCTGCTTCCTGACTGCATTCTGGTTTTGGGCCTTTATTTAATGCATCAGCCTCAGTAGGTGTGAGATGGGTGTTCTTGGACATGCCAGGTTGGACTGGAGACGCTGCTGGCTTTTCCTTCCCCTCTGCCCTCATGATCACTGGGGAAAGGCAGTGCTTTGGTTTGGAGCTGCAGGATTCTGCTGTCCTTTCCCAACCCTGCTCTTCCTGGTGTGTGGGTGCGTTGTTGGTCAGTAGGAATTGCTCAGCAAGGTGAATCCAATGTGTGATAATATGATAATGCATCAGGGCCTGCTCTGGGGAGTTCTAATTACTGTATTTTTTTGTTTAAATGAATAAGGATGATGAATTTGACTCTGCAAACCTACCTGGAGATTTACAGTAGCAAATTAACGAGAGCACTGGATTATGGATTACTAGATCACTTTATAACTTGATGATTAAATTCAAACTGCCAAACTAAATTCCTCTCACTAAGAGCGTAATCAAAACCATTCAGGGAACTCTTGCCTGAGAAATTGTAGATATAAACAGCAATTGCTTATTTCAGTAAACACACTTGTTCACTGCCAAACTAATCACGTTACTGCAGATGGAATCCCTGTGTGCAGCTTTTCTTCACTCCCCCATTTAATTGACAGCAAGATGCATCATATCTATATCAATTCCTGGTACTAATCACTCTGCTCATATTCCAGGGCTAATCTCCACACTCTGGCTATACCAGGGGCTGGGGCTCTGCTCTGGGCTCTGCTCGGAGCCATTTGTTGTAAATAATGGGTTTAAAAGCAAACCTAGACATGGAGTCAAACCCACCTGATGCCAGTGTTTCTTGAACTCCCAATCTCTTTCCTGGTGTTCTGTTATTTTCCTGAAGTTAAGTGGCATGCTTGGAAATTTCCCAGGAAATGTAGTGCACAGTAAATTTGGAGGGGGAGTCCATCTCCAGCTCTCCTGGAGCCGCTTTGGGCCCTGCCAGGGGCTCTGAGCTGTGCCTGGAGCCTTCCCTTCTCCAGGGGAGCATTCCCAGCTCTCGCAGCCTGGATCAGGGAGCAGAGGGGCTGCAGCCCTGGAGCAGCTCCAGGACCTCAGCAGATCCTCAGCACAAAGTGGAGGACTCTGTCTCCAGCCCCACTTTCCCCAGGGATTGCACTGTACCACAGGGGCAGTGGCTGCTGCTGTCCTGAGGGATTTTCGTCAGCTGCTTTACTCAGCATTACAGTCAATATCATCCCTGATTGCAGGATGAGCCTGCCCATTAATTATCCTTGGAATATGCACTTCCTTGAGTCATGGCTACTAGTTTTTAGATTTTATTTTCAGCTCTATGGCAGAGAGAGGGGCACAGAACTAATGCATTTAAATCATGATACTGCTGAGGAATGAGCAAATAATTCTGAACAAAAATATTTAGGCTGCATGCACCATATAATCTGAACTGAGGCTTTTTGTGCTTGGCTGGAAAGGAGTTTCTGTGGTTTGTCACTTGAATTTTTATGAGTCTGCTCTTTCCTGTCTGGGAGATCTGGGCAGAAGCTATTTTGCATAGTTAAGTCTGCCATTTGGCCTGGAGACTGCGCCTAAATTAGGTCTTAAATTAGGGTTAAGCAGGTTTTTCTGGTGTTCAAAGTGTTTATAATTTCAAGAAAGTCTGGAAACGTTCAGAATTCAGTTTAAGTTGATGTTAACAGCAGAGAGCCTTCAGAGACTGCTCAGACCCTTCTTGCTTGAGCCATGGTCCCTGGTAGGTGGCTGAGCATCAGCCCTTCTCTCCACAGTCACTGCACACAGCAGCATTGGCTCTGGGAATATCAGCCCAAAGAGATCCCCAGGGCCATTCCAGGGAAATGGGAACTTGTCTGCAAACTGCCACGTTGTTAAGCTTTGTCACTTTAAACTTGTATTTTAACGTGCTGTAGGACATAAACTGCATTGCTTAGAAGTTTCTCAAAAAGGAGGTGAAATCAGAGTTTCTTTGGTGTTTCAGGGCACTACGTTTGACAATCACATCACTCCTGAACCTCATTAAACTTGAGCTTGGATTAATGCCACTGCATGAGATGGGAAATGTGCACTCAGCTCTGGTGAATTTTTTTGAGAGTCCAGAGCCCAGCCATGTGTCTGTTTATTAAAATGCTTCCTTTGTAGTGCTTATTAAAATAATAACAGCATCCTGTAACATTTGAAAGTTCCTAGAAGTAATGAATACAGGTAGTAACACTCGAGTGCGGTGTTACATTGATGTGGGCAAGGTGAAGTAGAGGTGTGGTATCCCTTCATGGATTTAGCACTGTTTGATCCTCAGTGTTTAATATGGATGATTGTGAGAAGCGGAGCAGTGGCTGGC